TTTCCGGCGAGTCCACCTGAATTTACGATCCGATCCACAATTCTGGACAAATGGTAGCAATGGCTTTCATCAGCAACAGTTCTCCGGCGACATGAGTTTCGCGCCATCGAGATTTTTTCTCTCTTTATTATTTTTTTTTCACCTGAGAAAATTTCAATTTCGAAATCAAAACCTCCGATTATGGATTCCGATATGGCGGCCGCGTTGAGAAGGAGCGTAGAAAATCACTTTTCTCCTCGATCGAATGGCGGCTCGGATCCAGTTCCACTCAAGCTTCCGTTTATAATTGGTATATCATGTTCCATCTCCAATGACCTGATGAGTTGTAATTCACAATTTTTTTTCTCTTATTGTCCACATAGATTTAGAAATGATTGTTTTTGAGCTTTGTTTGAATTGAAAAAGGCGTTGCCGGTGGAACTGCGTCGGGCAAGACTACTGTTTGCAATATGATTATCTCGCAGCTGCATGATCAACGGGTTGTTCTTGTCAATCAGGTCGGTTTCATCTATTGATGTTATGTTTTGTTTTATCATGAAGATTCACCTCAGATAGGAATTTGACAAGATTTCGCGAGAGTAATTCCGATTTTACTGCGTAGGCTAGTCGGATTAATATCTTTCTTCTTAATTACTGTGTAAGTGTAAGCTAGTCGGATTAGTATCAGTCTTCTTGTTTTTCCGGTCCCAGCAAATTCTCGTGTTGGATTTTCTATTGTAAGTGTGAAAATGCAAGTTTAGCATGTAGTTTGATGTGTTGCATGTATAATATACCCTGTTCACATTATGAAAAAATGAGATGTTTCTCTGCAACGAAATAATCCGAGCGCGTCTTTATTCCAGTACAATGTGTTTCGTGGTTTGAAATTGTGTAAATATATCATTGTTCTCATTGTTTCTACTAGCGATCTGTAGAGATACAACAATCAAAGAAGAGAAAAAGAACATGAAATTTTTGCTATTGTCCCTAAAGACACGTTCGGTGTTGAAATTTATCTATCTTAAGTAGCCCCATTTTATTCTAATTTGTGCTTGATTGAAAGTTTGAAACTTAGATGGTAACTGAATTGTAGGATGCATTTTATCGTTCACTGACTAATGAGCAGTTACCAAAGGTCAGTGAGTACAACTTTGACCATCCAGGCAAGCACATTCTTGGATTCTCAAATCTCACATGTTCTGCTGTTGTATTATCTCTGACATGTCAGCACTCATCAGCATAACTAATCATAGGTCCGCTGGTTATATACTGTTTTTTCAGATGCCTTTGATACGGACCTTTTGCTTTCGTGCATGGAAAAACTAAGACGTGGAAGAAAAGTTAGCATACCCAACTATGATTTCAAGACTCACCAAAGTGTAGAACCAGCCCGTATGGTACTTCTTTATTGCTTCTATCTAGCCTTCACTAAATTAATTTTTACCTTGTTAATATTCACGTAGCATGAGAACAATGGAAAAGCATATCATTTGCTAACATTCATGTCATGGTTTTTCTACGTGAGTATTATATAAGCATGCAGTTTAATATAGGTTTGGGCTCTCACTATTAGTCATTGCTCGAAATTTGTAGGTAAATCCTTCTGACGTCATAATTCTTGAAGGCATCCTTGTTCTTCACGACTCTCGTGTACGTGACCTTATGAACATGAAGATCTTTGTTGATACAGGTAGCTTGCATAGAGCTTTGTTTCTCCACTATATAGAAAATAAATAAAGAAAAACAAAAAAGAAGGAAAAGCAGAAAAACTTTGAGTTATGATACATACTAATCCTGGTTTAACTTATTTTGTTTCTTCACCGTATATATGCTCTGGTTACGAGGACCCAGTTGATGCTAACTTTAACGCGCCTTGTTGAATTTGTAGACTTCAGCTGAATCTGATTCATAATTTCCATTTGGTAATTAACATTGTCGAAGTTTTCTGGTGCAGACTCCGATGTACGTCTTGCAAGGAGAATACAGCGTGACACTGTCGAGAGAGGGAGAAATGTCGAGAATGTCCTCGACCAGGTTTTATACTTCTATTTTGAATTGCTCTTGTGCCTCTCTTTCTCTCTACGGGAGATAGTTACTAGTGTTACTATCTGTTTGTTACATAATTACTCCTAGTCTAGTGATGTGAGAGCTGACAAGTACTGATGTCTGTAAAATTTCAGTATGCTAAGTTTGTGAAGCCAAGTTTTGAGGAATTCATACTTCCATCAAAGAAACATGCTGATGTCATAATCCCTCGAGGGGCGGATAACGATGTGGCACTTGACTTGATAGTGCAGCA